TTCAGTGACTAAAGCTGAGCTTCATTGGATGATTGTAATTTTAAGCTATATGTACAAAAATCTTAAATAAACCTTACACCCCATCTGAACTCATCTTCATCAGCCATAATTATACAATAAAACTGTCAAAGCTGAAATAATCAAAAAGAAAAATGCTGAAAAAACAATAACAATATCCAGATGCATTAATCGGACAGTAAAAACATTTTCTGGTTTCTTTTCTTCTGAGATCTATTTTCTTTATTTTGCTTCCATTTTCATTTAATTCATTTTTATTAATAATATTATTGTCGAATATGTTTGTGTAAAAATATTACAAAATTTTATCTAGATATACATAAAAGATGTGACTATACAGAATAAGAGAATTATTGTGAGGATGACTATGTATTTATAATTGTATGAGGGGGTCATTTAGGAGGATTCTTGTTGGAATTTCTTAGCTTTTGTTCAACTTTAAATTCTTAAATTGAAATTTAAGTAATTTTTACAAACTTTATTAAAAAATCGTGAAAATTCGTTAAAACTTCAATTTTTCAAACCGTAGACCCCCTTTAAAAAATTCCAACAAAATCCACCCAATCTCTTAACATGTGCATTTGCTTTTATCTGCTTTTATGTTTAAAAAATGTGCCATTTTGACATTAAACCATAATGTTTACAAATTAGCAGCGGCAGCAGCAGCCCGAAAAACATTCATTTTTATTATTTTTTATTGTTGACAATAAAAGTAAATTTAAAACTTTTTTTTACTTCCTTCATTGCTGTCATTTTTTTGTTTAAAAAGAGAGAATATAAAATTATTGCCTTAAAAATTAGTATCGTGTTACTGCTGTACTGCTACTGGTAAGGGGGGTCCATGAAGATTTATATATATATATCTTTTTTATAAATTTTAATGGTGATGGTATGGCAATCGTTATCGATACTTGTTCCAGTATTTGTTGACGACATTAACTTTGCATAATGTCTTTGGAAAATAAAAGAAAGAATTGAGGACATAAAAAGGCATTTATTCAATTTTATGTTCGTGTAAAGTCTTTAAATGTCTTCAGTTCCTCTTTTTTTCGCTGATTTTCTTCTTTTTCGATACATGAGAATGGAATTATTGTGTTTATTGGAGAGCTTTTTTGGGGGTTTTGTGTGACTTTATCCAAAATTAACGGTTTTCTGGAATTCAAATTCAAATTCGAATAGCTTTTGCGTTTACATTGTTTTCATTCAAATTTCAACGGTGTTTTGCTATTTGAATTCAAATTTTAACGAATTTTATTTCAATTCAAATTAAACGTTTTTTTGGTTTAAATTCAAATTTTAACGGTTTCATCCTATTTGAATTCAAATGCTTACAGTTTTCTGAGTTTAAATTCAAATATTACGGATTTTTTGGACTAATATCCCACAAACCCACAACAAAGACACCTCAAATCTTTATTATTCTTATTTTCAAAGCAGAAAAGTTCATTCAAGCACCGAAATCAGAAGAAATTCAAGCAAATCAGTCGTTCAAAGGGAAAAAAAATTCTTAATGCTGCATTTTTTGGGCAACAAGTTTTCTTTAAACTCAACTTTTTTTCCTTCGAACAAGCGATTTACAATAAATAGAAAAGTTTCTGATGCCAAAAAAAAAAATACAGCGATACATGAGAGAATCATTTAAATTTCTCTTTTATGATCCACTAAATACACTAGAATATTTTTTTTTGTGCAAACTTTTCCAACAAGAAAAAGTCATGTTTGAGAAGCATTTGCAGCTTTTTTCCTCATCATCGAATGATTATGTTGGCAAATTTAAAATTCATAGAGCTTAGTGCAAAACTTTCTGAGCTTCTCAAACGTGAGTTTTTCTTCATCATTGGATTCATCAATTTTATTATAGAAGCAATCACACAGCCTGCCATAATAAAATCAATCCATATATATTCATCTATATGTACGTACATATACATTAATATTAACTCATTCTACTATCACGGGAAAATAAAATTTTTTCATCACATTGAACGGAAAAATAAATTTTCCTCTGATTTTAAATTGAATGTGGGTGTGTGTGTGTATGTGTGTCAGTTTGTGACTATTCATGCTTTTAGTTTTTTTCATGTGACACAGGAAAATGTATGCGAGTGCAAACATAAAATACACGATTTCTTTTCATGTTTTTTTTCGATTCATTCGACTCTCGTTCTGAAGCATTATTTAATATGCATTGAGCTTTTATGATTTTTTATGTTTTTTTTTGAATATTTCTTAATGGCATACTTTTGTGTTTTACTGATGTTATTTATGATTCTTAAGGTTAAGGTGCCTTCACACTATACTACAAAGGTTCATGTAGATTAGATTTGTGAGATTAAGGTTCCTTCACACTAGAGTACTAAGGTTCATGTACACTAGAATTGTGAGATTAAGGTGCCTTCACACAAGAGTACTAAGGTTCGTATGTGTTTGTATTAAGTTTTAAGATTAAGGTGCCTTCACACTAGAGTCCTAAGGTTCATGTATACTAGAGATATGAGATTATAGTGCTTGTACACTATATGGCATAAGGTTCATGTGTGTTCATATTAAGCTTTAAGGTTAAGGTGCCCTTACTCTGGATTTCGATTTTTTTCAATGCTCAGGTGCCTTCACATTAGAATCTAAAGATTATAAGTGCCTTCACAATAGAATTTTATAGTTCAAGGGCCTTCACACTAGATTTCATATCTTCAGGTGCCTTCACACTAGAATCTGAAGTTTTGAGTACCTTTACCATAATGTCCGAAGTTTTAAGTGCGTTCACACACTTCAGGTGTCTTCACACTAGATTTTAGATGTTCAGGTGCCTGTACATATTAAGTACTAAGGCTCAAGTGTTTTCACATTACAGTTTTAATGTTTAAGTGCCTTCACACCAGAGCTCTATTTCAAACTAGAGCTCTAAGGTTTAGATGCATTGGTGTTTAGATTTATTTGGATTTTAGAATTTAAACAACATAATACGATGAAATAAAAATAATCAGTTCAAAGCGAATGCAGCCTAAACAGTGAATTTTAACTAATATTTATACTCGTGAAACATAAGAGGATCAAGTTTTCTATGTTCATTAAATTCTATGTTTTCTAGCTCGTACAAATAGAATAGAATTCATTCGCGCCTGAAATTTATGCAATACAATGAGTTCATTTTTAGTTCTGATGAATGCAATAGGATTGCATAGATTTCAGGAGTATAATATTGTTACAGAATTTTTTGAGTCGGAATAAGGGTTGAGTACTCAATGTAATGATGGAATTTTTCACTTGAATCATATTCATCAGCAGAAAATATAGTGAAACTTTTGTAATTAAATTTTCAGCATATATTCATGCATAAATTCATAAACTTAGTTGATCAAGTTTGTTATCTCGTTAACGGACTATGAATAATGATAATTGAAGATAGTAAACTAACAATAGTTTTATTCAATTAGCTACAATTCAGAACACTAGCCATATAAGTGCAACTAGGATCTTCATAGCTACTTATTACGTCCTTAACTCATAACAATTTGCTGAGAATTTGTTGCATACTGTAAATAAGCATGAGAGACTCAATTGATAAAGCCTATAAAATGCTTAAATATTGATACACAGTAAATAACTTATGAAAAACCAATTGAATATGAAATTTTATCCTTCTACGTTTCACAATCGATTTATGCATTTGTAGCAGCTGGATGTGAAATATAAAATTTAATTTCCATTGCAAATTTTTTTCATATTAATATATTGGAAATGAAGCTTCATTTAATGAAAGTCGATACATATTTTGCGAGATAAAGGCTCAAATGTTTGATTATCTGATTAAATTTTGTCTGAATTTGCTATTTTTGGCAGAATGTGAAATGATTATTAGATAAATTGATATTATTTTAATGATAATTTGTATGAAATGAGATGAGTTGAAGCTCTGCCACTTTTTTGAAGAGAATTTTGCCAAAAAAATTGAGTAAAAAAGTAATTTTAGTCAAAAAATTTGGCAAAAACTCTTCGAAGTGGACAAAAATTTCTAGGATTTTACAATTTTGAGTTGAATTGAATGAAAAAAATTCAGTTATGATCTAAATATGAGTTATAATTAAAACTTAACTTATTACCAAAATCTAGTTAAAATCTCGCAAATGCGCCTTATCCACAAAATTACTCGAAAATGTTCTTACTTGTCCCTCGTTTTTTCTATCGATTATATTATTCCGCAGAAAAATCATAAAAGCTCAATGTTATACAGTTATAAGTTGATGTACATTATGAAAAACTTTTAATTATGCTGAAAAATTCATTTATGATATATTCTCTACTTTTACTCATATAACAAGCTCATGAGAGTCAATAAATCATACATGAATCATTCTTTCCTTTCTCGTCCGTCCTCATGCTTTTTAAAATGTACACATATTAAATTTATGAATGCATAAAGCCAGTCGCTAGCCGAATGAATTGAATTGAAGCAGTTATTCAAATTTAAATAATTTATCCAATCAATTTTCACCCTGAGTTGACTACTGTATTGAGTATCTGAAGCTGAGGTCATTGAACTCATCAGTTTTGGCATTAAATAAATTTAAAAAATTTAATAAATTATTTTTGACTCTTTAAATTTCCTTACAGCGACACCCAATTCAATTTAAAATCATTGCTTAAAATACTAGATTTTATAATCTTAAATTCTATATAAATTTTTTTTATCTTAAATTTATCACCACAATTTTAAAGTGCTTTATTATCGCGCAAAAATTATTTTCAGTCGACTAATTAATGCGTAATGAGAGGGCACTTTTGTTGTTATCCGTATATAAATTATTAATTATGATTGATTATGTAAATAGAACACTCGATCCACTTCCAATACATGCATTCGGAATTGGATTTGAAAATTGGATTTCAAGTGCCATTTAAAGTACTTAAACATCTACTTATAGTATTACTATTGTTGTATCTATGAACCCTAAATTTTTTAATATAAAATATTATTTTTTTTTTGTTCCTAATCGACTTAGAATTGTTCAGTTTTATGCTTTTTCATTGTCTTTTGTTCTACTTTCCTTCCTTCCTTCTTGCTTGTCGTTCAACACACAGTTGTTGTTGGGTTCTTTAAAGATCGGCTCGTGCCTTCTTAAAACTCACAGCTGACGTTGTTGACAAACGGCGTTTTCGAACTTTTAAATAGTCTGAAAATAGAAATAAAGAGAAAAAAATGTTAATTTTATGATTAATAGCTTAAATGGACTAATTTATTGGGATTAATAATGAATTCTTTTGTGTTTTGAAGTTAATGGGATGTGTGCTGTGAAGTATGGATTGAGAATTTTAATATGCAGCTTTTTTCTGTTTTTAAATTATGGAACTTAATTTTTGTAGAGGACCATATGCATTCCTTGGTATTCCAGATCGTAAAGGTAACCCCCCCCCCCCCCCCCCCCTTTACTCGATCGAACAATGGTTCTTAAACTTATCTGAAGACAATTGTTCCAAGTAAATTTAGAGGAACACATAGGCTTATCACACGCAACACTTAAGCTTCGTGTACCAAAGTTTGAGAAACACCGCCCTAGAAAATATATTAAAGAATGATTACAAATTTTGTTTGTGAACTGCAAATTGAAGCAGTTTTGACAAAATCCAAAACAATAAATTTTGTGAACCAAAATCAAATTAAATCCATGAATTCGAAACGAAAACATAAAAGAAGTTTACTTAACCCTCGAATTTGTGGATCCCAAAAAAATACCTACAATTCCAATTTGACGACCTTTTCAGCCATCAATTTAATCAATTCGAGTAAAAAGTATCAAATAACAGGCAACAATAACTTTGCAAATAAAAGTCAACAGTAGCAGCATGATTGTAGCTTTTATGTCAGTTGTATGCTGAATGGATTAATAAGGAAAGTATCAATAACAGTGACCCATAAATCAATCAATTGTGATTTTATTCTGTTATTATGTAATTCAGATAATGCAGGAAAGTTAAACTGTGGGATGAGGATAATTGGCAATGACTACATTCAATAATTCATTTAGCTTTGGTTTGCAACATTGTAATGCAAAATATCATTCGGAATTGTCTTTGTAATTAGCATTAATTAATGTAATTGATGATATTAAAATTGACTTTTCAACATACTCAGGATATTCATCATCGGAACCGCGACAAATTAAATCAATCAACTGCCAACATCCCTTAAAGTCACATCAAACATCCAAAAATAAAAGTATCAAATTACATTCAAAAAAATTGAATCTCTTGTCGTCAGTCATTCCTAAACACAACTCATATCGATGACTGGCAAATCGACGTTTTTCCACACATTTTACACATGAATATCCCCCAAAAGTAGAACAACAGCAGATTGAAATCAGATCATTATTTGTTGCATCTGTCGATTATATTTCATAAAAAGGCACATGAATGAATACACAACAGAAAAGGATTGCAGCAGATTGCTTTCAACAAACGACCACCCTCGGTATGGATCGAATGATTATTAAGCAACAAAAAAAGAGAGGCAGAACAGCGTTACAAAGCGGAAAATTTAATTTAAAATAACGATTTTCTGAGTTTAAAGCTGGTTGAGGTTGGATTTTATTTAAGAATGGGGGGGTCTTGTTGATAAAATTCATGAAAACAATTCTAACCCCCAAACAACTCAATTATTCAATAAATCAAATCCAAAAGTCCCCTTTAGTCCACTCGAATGCCAACATACATTCATAAACGTCCTCAACAAACATCAGACATGACAATTATTCCACTTTTTTACCCCCTTCAACTTCTTAATGCAATTTTAATTGAATAAATGGAAATAACTGCCTTGAATGCGAGAACTTCCCACTTGAAATTGTAATTTCTCTTTTTTGCTATTTTAATGCATAATAATTGTACCAGCCGCATTGCTTTATGGCATTGATTGTATGTCATTTTTTTAAGGATAATTGATCAAGTTAAAGTGGACATGAATGGGAAAGAAATGAAAAGGGTTTGTTTGTATTTCTTCGTGTTTTTGTTTTTTTGTTCAGTGTTTCGAGGACTCTTTATTAGGCTCGTGACGTCAAGGACTTTTAGTCGTTGAAAAAGTTTAGAGGTAGACATTTATGTCCCATTTTATAAAAATGAAAATGAATGTGGAAAATGTGAAATTAAAGTGGAAAAAAGTTTCTTTGTGTCGAGTGTGGTTTTTGATGTTGAAATGGAATGCTGCTGATTGTTTGTGGAATGTCTACATAACACTTTGAGTGTATTATCCAATAATAAAGTGTGAACCTAATAACTTTATAATGTTGAACCGAATTCCATGAGATTCGAACTCACAACAATCGAGTTCAAAAGCCAAAATGTTTAAAAACAGTCCAACAAGCTCCAAACGACTCCATAAGGTCAATTAACTCTACAAACTCATAAGCGCTATTATGCTTTAATAAATCAGACCCATTTCATTCATTCAAAACCCAAACACGCCCTGAATATAAGTAAATTACCTGATTTTTGCCCTTTTTTCCCCTTTTTTTTTGGTCGATCACAAACCTTTTCAATCCACAAAGAGCAAGCTCAGAAATTCATTTCTATTGTACAATATTTTTTGTATTCCTTTACTCTCGTTTTTTTTGTGTGCTGAATAAAAACCGCAAAAAAGAATCCAGCAACAAAAAAACAGCAAAATCCATTCAAGTTGAAATTGAGCTCCCAGTTGTGAGCCAAAGAGAGTAAGCGGATGTTTGTAATTGATCCCTTTCAGTATGTGCATGTATACTTAGTTCTTGATCATAAGGAAGGAAAATACAGCACAAAAAGTTGATTGTAAAATAACAATAAAGCACAATAAACATTTATTTTTTGTTATTGACATTAATTTGGTGCACGAAACAACAACAATAATAATTTCTAGGCCATTGAGAATGTAAAAGGCACAAATAAAATGCCAAACAATCGATCGACGAAATGTGGAAACCCATAATTTAATTTTAATTCATCATGAACTAATTCAATAATTGATTTCTGTTGAGTTCAGACTGAGGGTGCATTTTTAGCTTCTCTTTCCTTCATTTCTTCTGACTTGGCATTGAAAGTAAAATAAGCAAATTAATATTTTTTGATTGCGCTCCTACTGCTTTCAATACCACAAATAGATTTTAATTTTTTTCTAGAACAAAAAATTATGATTCATTTATTTACTCGTGATTGGTTGATTTTGGTTGGAATCACTCTAGGTGAGGACTCTTTGATAGAAGGTTTGGGGGACATAATTTTAAAAAATTAAAAACATAACCTCAACAAACGTACAGCATGGGAATATAAAATCAACAGTTAGAACATAACCTCAATATTAGTGACATAACCTTAACATTAGGGACATAACCTCAACAAACGTCCAACATAGGAATATAAATTCAACAATTAGAAAATAATCTAATTAAGGACATAACCTTGAAATTAGGGACATAACCTCAACAAACGTACAACATAGGAATATAAATTCAACAGTTAGAGCATAACCTAATTATAACATAACCTTGAAACTAGGGACATAACCTCAAAATTAGTAACAATTGCTCAAAAATTAATAACATAGCCTCAAAATTTGGAACATATTCTCAAAGTTAAGCAATATAACCTTACTTTTTTCCAATTATAACCTCAAATTTAAAACAAACATAACCAAAAAATTCCAAAATAATTCCATATCTTCAACTGTCCCACACCTTGACAGCAAAACATTATATCCAAAACCACATATCTCTATCAGAACAAGCATACTTCCAGCAATTGAAAAAAATCCAACTAAACCGGACTCTTTTTTTTTGTTATCCAATTTTAAAAATTAAACCACATTGTAAATATTGAGAACAATTTTGTGAAATGTCGAGACTTTTCATTTTCATATTATTTTTCCATTGAAAATAGATTGAATTACTTCTGAGGTTAAATTAACACCGCAATACTTCCTTTTCGTCTGACAGGATTGAGCAGCAAGTTGTCATTTCATTCGACCATAAAGTTGCGGTTATTTCTCTACCTTTAATTTGTGCACACACAGAAAGAGAGAAATAAAGGTTGCATACAATTTAAATATTCTTGCATGCATTAAAAAAAGAGCATATCAGTATTCAATTTGTTGAGCTATACTGAACTTTCCATATGACCATTTGCTAGATTTGAAAAATGTTTTTATTATGCACATACATAATTATTTAATTTTTATTCATTTCGCTCTGTCTTTTTTCTATTCCTGTGTTTTTCGTTTAAAAATGAAATAAAATATAATATCTTTCATCTATCAGACAAAACAAGTTGGAAAAACTCTTTTTGCGTGGGATATAAAGCGCATTCTGATCATGGCTTGTTACAACTATCAATTTAGTAGTGTTTCGATTATATTCTTATCAAAATTTATGATTTTATTACGGATTAATAGCAAAATAAGTTAAAAAATGAAGAAAAAAATTTTCTCCACCTCGAAAAGTTTTTCTCAATTTTTATGACCATTTTTGCAGAAAATCTACAAAAAGTGAAATGTTTCTAGTTCAAAAAAGTGGCAAGCATCAATTAAAAAAGATTTTAAATTAAAATATTGCTGTCTTAAAAAATTATGAGCAAAACAGACTTTCGGAACTGTTAAGAAGTTGACTGTTTCATAAGAGTTAACCTAAAATTGACTCCAGAGACATAACATCAATGCAAAATCACGTTCACAACCAAAACTTGTTATCAAAACTGGACAAATTTGCAGCAGCAAGAGTGAGTAGGGATAATTGAAGAGATAAAAGAAGAGATAGTGAAGCTAGCAAATTCATGTTCATACAGGATATGCCATAGACCACAATAAAATACAGAAAAAAAAAATTATTTCTCTCTTCCGAAACAGAAAACATGAAAAATGTCTGATATATATTAAATATAAATTAAAAATACAGCCATTCTATAGAGCATGAACGGCAAGCAGCAGCAGTAGAAATAGAAATGTATAATTTTTTAATGCATTTATTCATGAGATGAATGATTATGAAAAAACATTTCCATTTTTTTCGTCTTCTTCTTCAATTCTCTCTTATTTCATATCCTCATCATGTTTTTTAATAGTAGAATATATTTTATTTCCAGTTTCGAGCACCGAAAAAAAAGACGGCAAATTGTGATATGATGTGAAATGTTTGATATGTGTTGCGGGTTGGAG